GTGGCAAGACCCACAGCCCCCCGCAGCCGCGCGGAGGACGGGCGATGGCACCGTCCCTCCCGTACAGCAGCGCAGCCCCAGCCCCCAGCCCTGGCCCCTTGCTCTGGTTAGAGCTGTCCCTTCCCCTCGCAGCAGTAGCTCCTTTGTACCAGCAGCTGAAAGCCATTATGAGGCTTGTTCGTGTTGGGAAGGCGAGGCGCCGGGGCCAAGAGGTGTCAGCGCACGTTTGCTGTCCAGGGCCACTGCTCAGCCAAAGCTCAGCCCGCAGTGACGCCTCCTCTCAGCCAGAACCCAAAGACAGACGACGGTTTGCACGTGCTCTGGCTCCTCTCTCAGTGTTCAGGACACCACCGAGCAGGCTGTTCGCTCTGTCGCGTGGGCAGACGCGCTCCTCTGTTTTCAGAGGGCTGGACTTCCCCTGGACCCTCCAGGTTAGAGCGGGCCGTGGCGGGTGGTGAAGCAGGGCGCAGGAGGGAACAGCAAAGCCAGAAGAGCACTGCGGGCTTCGCCCAGGGACGGGCTCTTTCTCCTCCTGAGCTCCTGCTTCACCAGCAGCCTGCCTTTTTTTTTTCCTCCACGCAGTGGTGGAAGAACAGCAGCAAGGAAACGCTGCCACGCCGGCTGAAGGATGCCGAGGGGATGGTGACCCCCGGGCAGGTCTGTCTGGTGACACCATTCGCAGGGACAGCCAAGCTGCTCCGAAGTGCCAGTGCAGGCAGGCGCAGGCAGCACAGCGGCAAGCCCGGCAGGGGAGCGGCCGCCCGGCCCACGGAGCCTTTGGCTGGATGTCAGCGTCTCTCACGGCACCGCACCGGGGTGGTGCGCGGAGGTGGGGACTCGGAGGACAAGAGCAGCAGCAGGAGCTGCTCCGTGGGTGAGGACATCTGCGCTGCTGAACAGCGAGCTCGCTCCACGGGCAGGAGACCAAGGGGTGGCTCAAGCGGGGGCTTCTGCCAGCCCGGCGGCTCGCTGCGCGCCCTGGGCAGCACAAACCTGATCTCCAGCTTCAGAGGCCCCTCAGTTCGGTTTATTGCAAGCGATCGCTGACGAACCCCGGTCTGAAACCTCCAGCCAGGACAGGTGTTTCAGCAGTGCCCGCCGCTGTAAGCGAATGTCGGAGGCCGGCGTTTTCGGCACAGCGGGAATCGGCTCCACGCGGGCTGGAAGTCACACACAGCCCGTGCGTGACCAACACCCGGGGCAACGTGCCAAAGCTCCCAGAAACGCTCCCTCTGCTGTGACGGACAACAGCAAGTGCTAATGCACTTCTCACCGAAGGTGCTCGGGAGTTGTTTCCCCCTCTTTAAGAAAAAAAACGGCTTCTTCAAACGCCCTTTGGAAGACTCCGTCAGAAAGCACGCCGAAGGGACGCCCCCCGCTTTCCTCAGAGGGATTAAGACAAATTTATGAAACTGAAGTAATGTTATGAAATGGCTTAAAGGGGGAAGAGGGAAGAAATGAGACTAAAATAACATCTATTCTCCTTCCAGTTATTGCAGAAGCGTTAGGGCAAGCCAACAGGAAGGGTCAGAAGAAGAACCCTTAGCACAGTCCCTGGGAGAGCCCAGGGTCGGTGACAAGAAAGCGCACCGCACCGGTACTTAGCAGTTCTCATTTGCTCTGGGGGAAAAAAACCAACCAAACAAACAAAAAAACCCAACAAAAACAACCCAAAAACAATAACAACAAAACCCCAAAGAAACCTCAAGCCCAACCAACCAAGAAGACCCCAAAAACCACCACCACAGAAATCCAGTTGCAACAGATAATTCAATGTCTGACAGTTTAGTCATTTATAATCTGAATTTGAACTTCAAGGTTACCCTTTGTTACTCCTCCCCTTTACACAAACAAACTCATTTCTCACCTCCAGTTCCATTTCCTTTACCATCACATAAACCTCTCACTTTGGAGAGGCAGGGTGAAACACATTTCCATGGCTCTAAGTTATCCTTTGTCGGAACAGTCTTGTGGTTAGCAAATCTAGCGGAAACTGCGTTCCCAAGGTGTCAAATCCTCCCCACGGCAGCAGATCTTACCCGCGCCGAGCTATAGCTCACAGTAGAGCGCTCTGTGGAAGACGGTGCCAATGAGCAGCTTCCCCTCGTAGACGGACGCCACCGAGGTGCCCTGCAGCACCGAGCCGCTGTCGGCGTAGACGCGCGTCACCACCGGCTCCTCCGAGAGGATGTTCTGGATGCGCAGGACCTGCCGGGGGAGGGGGACACAGCTGCTGAAACGGCCGCGGGTGACAACCCTCCACGGACAGAGGGTTAACCTAGGTTAGGTGGGTGGGTCAGCTGCTGGGAACCGCAGCCGAGTGCCTCCTGTGAGAGGGTCACAAGTTCTGCTTCAGGGAAGCGTGGCCCATGTGACTGATTGGGGTTGTTTGGGTTTTTTTAAGTGGTTCTGCCACAGAGGCTCCACCTCAGTAAGTGCGTGCGGCGTCATCCCCAGTGCTAGGAATGGGCACAGGGTTTTCCAGCCTAAGAGTTACTTCATGTCTTCTCATTTTCATGCTTTTTCCAGACAAACAACTGCCCAGTATCATAAATCTACTGCTGTTGAGCGTGGTAATTTGGAAAAGTGTCTTACGGGGCTTTTCAGACAAGGCTGAAACCAAACAGACACCAACCAGCCACCTGCACCGGCGGCCGCCAGCGCGCTGATGCCGGCACCTCCCTGGTTTCAGAAGGAAAGAAGAATTACGGTGTCACCTGCCGATGAGCCACGCTCGCCCTGATAAAGCATTCCCCTGCGAACGTTTCTGGTCGTGCTCTGCACTCAGGCCATTATTTTTCTGGTTTGGCCAATTGCCGCCTCAGTAATTAACACAGCTCATCACAACCTGATTGCGCGGCCGCAGCTGCACAGAGAGCAGCCTGAGGAGCCCAGCACGACCGAGCCGCTGGGTGCAAGTTAGGCAGCTGTCTCCTAAGGATCCGAATGGCGTTTGTCAGCGAGCACACGCTGCTCAGGCTTCCCACGGGAGAGCAGAAGCTCTGAGCTGGAAGCCAGCTCGGTCTTTGCTTTCGCAGAGGCTGGCCCGGCACTTCGCTGTCTAACGCAGAGTTAAGTTATAGCAGGGTGACTGGAACAGAGCGACTTTCTGGCACAGACACAGCCAAGAGACCACCGATGTCCCCCAAAAGGCACCTCAGAGGCAGGCGGATTTTCAGGATCATGGTAGAACAGCTTCATCCCGTTGGGATGACATCCTGTCCAGACGTCTCCAGTGTGAGGGTCGATAGACAAGTTATCGACCAGAGTGTCCAGCTGCAGCGTCTGTCCAGAGGAAAAACAAGGAAAAGAAGTTAAAGCTATCATCAGAAGTCCTGGAAGCAAACTGTAACATAACCAGTAGGTTTGTCCAAGACCCTGATCTGACATTGATTGTTTCCAGAAATATTTCCTCCCCCAGCGCTGTTTTTCTTTTCCCCCAGTATGCTCCATCCTCTCCTCTGTGCCGTGAGAAACCTGCTCGCTGCTCCGGGCCTCCCCGTCGGCTCCTGCACGCCTACGCTCGTGTCGGTTACTTCGGTGCTTTGTGGTCTGACCCACAGCACGGCCCAGGGTCCCCCTCTGGTCACCGGTGTGAGGGTGGGAGACCTGAGGCTCTGCAGCGGGGCGCACAGCATCTCCGCAAACCCACAGCAGGAGCCATCCAGCGCAGACCCTCACGCGATCAGGCTGAAATCTCCAGCATTCTTGGGGACTAACCTATCCAAAACTCACACGGGGAACAGCAGCACCTTACCTTCACGTGGGTTAGGTTCCAATCGGCATGTTTTTCCATAACGTGGATGTTGTGATCTAACACATCTGCAACGTAGAGGTACCTTCAAAAGAAAGCAGCTCTGAGCAACGCGCAGCAGCGAGCAGACACCAAGAGCCGCC